AGAATTGGTTTTGACTAAAATAATTAAACAACTATCAAAGGACAATCCAAAGTTCGACGAGGATTGGTCGCTTGCGAGTAGTTGGAAGTATAGTATTGGAAATTATGGAAGTGTTTCCATATTGGATGGACGATATCGACATCATTACGAATAGATAAGATTCTATTAAGAATGAGTTGTCATATAGAAAATATGGAAGTGTGTCCATGTTGGGAAGTAAAATCTATGTCTAGATTAGAAACTTTATGCGAAAGGATGTTCAAAGGAATGTACTTTGAGTGAGAGACATCATATCTAAGGAATTGTCTTGTAACAATCTCCGATAGAGGAATTTGTAATATCATTGGCAATAGTCTTTGAGACTTTGGTGCAGTGACATTACAAAAGGATCGTTGCATAAAGTGTTAGAATCTAGTATATTCTACAAGAATTTGACATTCTTACACTTAAGAAAATGGATTTGGTGTTGTAAAATGAGAATGATTGGAAATGTGTTCAATTTGTCTATTTCGCAAAAGTAAGAACCATAGGTAAACATTGTGTGCATGCTAGGAGCATGGGACAAGTGTTGGAATTAAAATGCGAAGTTGATTACCCGAAACGACAAATAATGAGTAATCGATATGGTGATAAATAAAACGTGTTTTGTTTATACTCAAAGGTTTGAGGCCATATGGGATTAGTATTATTCTTGTGTTTCACCTTGCATGTTTTGACTTCCAGAATAATTGAGTTTATTAAGAATAATCGAATTATTCAAACGGGCCACAGTCGTTCATATGTTGGAAGTAGATATGAATGAAGACTGTCGTGAATTGGTGTGTGGATTGTCTAGAAGAGTATTAGACATAAGCAAATGTTTGCTGCAACGTTCATGAGTGCTTATGAATATGATTTGAGCATTGGATTAAACCCACGCTCACTTGGATCACTCCATGAATTGTATTACGAGTGATTGGTGAGACGATAACATCTTATATTCTTGAAACCGAGATGTGTGAGTTGTATCTTGCGAATCGGTTGCACATTGATAATATGTAAACGCACTAGTAACTTGGTGTTATAAAACATATTGTTGTGTGTAATTCGGTGAGTGAGTGCAAGCGAGCATTGTATCAAAGTTTATCCGTTCCTTTTATCCAAGTAGGATAAAAGCGATATCTTTGGGCCCCTCGATGGTTTAGTGATGACATACGTAAATGCTCGGCCGGGCTAGGGCTAATTTGATTTGTTCAATTAGTCTGTCGTCATAAATCGGAAATCGAGATATAGTACAAAGAGAATGATTAGAAATCATATCTCATACGATATCTAGAATGGAGGAATATATGATCCCTTATCTAAGGACACGCGTATCTGATATGATCAGAGTTGACACGGCTTTGGAAAGCTACGATTGCAGATCAGGATCTGAAGTCATACGCAGAATAGTTGTTAGACTTATCCAAGTGGGAGACTGTTGGATTAGTGTCTAAGTCCATAACTATTTTGGTATGTACTTGACCCGATGGTGCATGGTCCTTTTGGGTTGCCTTCACCAAAGCAACTTGATTGGAGAAATGAATAAAGAGAGAGAGGATAATATGATTTATATGTTATAAGAATAATATATTAAAGAAGAAATCATATTTGTTTAATTAATATTGGTCAATAATTAATTAAGAATTAGTTTTGTGATCAAATGTAATTAATTAAACTAGAGGGGCTGAATTGTAATTATGTGATAGTTACAAAATAAGGTAAGGATTATCTTATATATATGGTGAACGAATTTGAGGTGTAAATCCCTTAGAATTCGAGTATGATAAGGATTCAAGGATTATCTTATTGGTTGCTTAATGGATAATCAACTAGATAAGGATAATGACTGAAACCCTATCTCTACACCTATATAAACACCCCTAGGGCTATGAATTCGTGTATCCCTTCCCAAGAGGTCCTAGATACGAATTCTAACCTCTCACTTCTCTCTTTATACCTTCTCCATTTGCTTATGGTGTTTGTGAACCATTAGAGGAGTGACACTTGTGACTCTAAGCCTTCCAAAGTCAATTCAAGGAGATTTGTGATTGTTATTGCTACATAACAATCAAGGTAACATTATAAACCTATTCTCATGTTAATATGATTATTTGAATGCTAGAATTAGGGTTTATAGTCTTGGATAACTTGCATGTACAATAGAGAAACCTAGATCCAAGCATTAGGGTTTGTATGAGCACATAGGATGTCTTATGACCAAAACCCATCAAGTAATTCTTCATACTTAGGGTTAAAATTGAAAATACATCATCAACGTGATGTTACAATAAAGGTGGTCATTCAAATCAACATGGTTCAATATAAATCATTTATCTTGAACCATATTCATTTGAAACCCCTGCGAATTTTAATCTTATGGTATTTAATGGATTGGTTAATTAAAATATTTTTACTACATAACTACTATAACCTGTCCACTTATGTTAGTTAATTCATTAGTTAACCAAAATATTTTGTTTATATAAAAACATTATTTTCATGCTAGGTTACTTACACTCTTTTTTCTCCTTTTGCTTTTGTTATCCAGAGTCTATGAAACTGGAAAGATTGTAAACATACAAAGAATTACAAAGTAAAAGATGACTATAAGTGATTTAACATATTATATATGTAAGTGTGTGTAATCTTCCATTGCTAATATCCATATATAATGTTGTATTTTCTTTATTATTTCCACTTCTTTCTCCTGTTAGCTTCTTTAAATTTCATGAAAATGTTTATAATTGTACACTTAGGGGCAAAAGAAAAGGATGATACATTTCTAATTAACCTTTACAATTTTTTTGATGTAGCATTGTGGTATATTTGTGTTGTATATATCATTTCAGTTATTTTTCATAAATTTCTAAGTATATTAATAACTTTTGTGTAGAGATAGAACTGCATTAAGTTCTTAACTTTTTTTATTATGATAATCACCACCAACACAAAAAATATTTTATGCAATTTTTCTAGCATCTGAATTGTTATTATTATTTTCGTCGATTATACTTTACTAGATCATGACACACTTTAAGAAATAGTGTTTAATAATAATAATAATAATAATAATAATAATAATAATAATAATAATAATAATAATAATAATAATAAAAGCGATATGGTCAATCCAAATTTATATAATTTGATTAACAAATGAATTAATTAACATAAGTTTAAAAATTAATTATAGAAGTTATACAGTAAAAATATTTTAGTTAACCAATCCATTAAATAGCATAAGTTAAAAAATTGTGAACCGAAAGGGAGAGGGGATGTTTTAAATGAATATGGTTGAAAAAAATAAATAAATTAACAAATGAGTAATTCTTAAATTAATTGCAATTAAAAATAGTATTAAATCAAAATTTGTACAAAAATATTATTTACGTGCAACCTACGGATAAAAAAAATTAAAATTATATGATTGAATATAAATATTATAATATAAGTATTACATGTCAAATCTGAATATAAGTATTATAATTTAGTATTACATGTCAAACTTTTTAATAAACATCTTGTTATTATATTTTTTATTATATTAGTTATATTTAAAAATGTAGAAATATCTATATTTTTAAACAAAGCATAAAAAGAATCAAAATGTGAAGGTTCATTTGGTTTGTATTAATAAAAAAAATCTTTGGTAGAGTAGAATGGGAAAAAATGACTTGTGAGTGTAATTAAAATGACTTAAATGGTCATGAGTGTAATTAAAATGACTTGTGAGTGTGAACATATTTAACAAGTTAAATGGTCAAATATGTACAAAAAAAAAGTTTTCTAAATGTGAACCATTTTTTTTTACAAATTTCTTAAGACTTCTTATAATTTCATACAATATTTTTGTAATATTTTTTTCCTATAGGTTTTTCTAATATAATGTTTTAAACTTGGCTTATAATTTTTTTTAAACGTTTTTATACTTTCATATAATTTTAATACAAGTGCTTTTAAACCAAATATTTTATAAATGTTTAAAAAACTTCTTACAAGTTTTAAACTTTTTTTTATGTTTTCATACAGTTTTTTTAAACTTTCATACAATTATTTCTAAACTTTCTTTTACAACATTTATAGTTTTTGTATGACAATTTAATAGTTTTTATAACATATTAAAATACTTTCGTTAAATACTAGTCTAAAACATGGTATTAAAAAAATTAAAAGTATATAAACTTCTAATTAAAAGGTATTAAAATTTTGTAATAATTTTAAAACATTTTCATTATATAGATTTTTTTTATTTTTTATTTGCTAAGTAATATTTTATTTTTGTTTTTTTTTAAAGACTCTCCATACTTATTGTTACATATTTAATTTATTTAATTTCATTGTTAGATACTTATTACTTTAAAAATATTGTATGTGCTTAAAAACAAAAGAAAAAAAGTTATAAGAGGATATATAAAATATTTCACAAAACAAGAATATATTTATTAATTAAAAAAGTAAAGTTTATAATTGTTCAATATTTAAGTAATTTTTAGGAAATTATGGATATTTTTAAAAATAATATTTGAAAAAAATAATAATACAAACAAATATGAAAAATAAAATTGTTATTAAAAGTGGGGAAAATTACTTATTAGAATAATTAACATTTCGTTTTGTTCACATTTAGACAATTTTATTTTTTGTACACATTTAACCATTTAACTTATTAATGTGTTCACATATTACCATTGTTACCTGCTATAGCCCATAACAATAGTAATATGTGAACACATATAACAAATTAAATGGTTAAATATGTATAAAAATAAAGAAGTTATCTAACATGATTAAATGTATATAAAAATAAAGAAGTTATCTAAATATAAATAAAACGATAAAGATTATAACCGATAACAATGTAATATGTAAACTCTTATAACAAATTAAATGGTTAAATGTGTCTAACTATAAATAAATAGACTCTCCTAAATTTGTTATAGACCATTCATATAGGAGGGCCTTAAAACTACCACCAATAAGTTCGCAGGTATCAAAGTAACAAAAGCAAAACTACATGGTTGTAAATGGTAAAATCAGAACGTAACTAGGTACCCTCAAATCTCAATCTCTTGTTACCCTGCGCTTCCTTGATGACAGAGCTTCTTCTTTCTCAATCTCCCCACAAACAATGGCAGAAAGCTTACCAAAAACCCTAAATAAAAGGGAACCCATCTCTCAGAATTGAATCTCTTGCGTTTTAATTTAATCACTTCGATCAGACAATAACTGCTTTCATCTGGTACTTTCTCTGTTTCTTTCTTGTAACTGCTCTCAGTTCTTAAATTTACTAAGTTATGTTCAGAAAATCTAGTATCTAGATCCATTTCTGTCACAACAATTGTATCTTTCTTATAATTTCCCATATCTGGGTTCATTTGTAACTCCATCGATATCGTTCTTTAGGTGGTTTAATCGTCCATTTTTCTCAACCCCTCTTTGTCGTGTTTAGAGCTTCAAAGCTTTCATTTTTCTCAAATTATCGCCAATACTCAATTCAACCACCCTGTTGTTCGTTTTACATTCAAGTTTCTCTCATAATCGCGCATCAAATATTTAGGGCTCTATCTTGTACCTTTTTACTGGAAAGAATTCGAAATGGATTATGGTCGAGAAAGTGGAAACGTTGTCCAGATAATCACCGGAGGGTCAAGAAACGGCGGTGATTATTGGGGGGATCAACCCGTATGGGCAACTGAAGACGAATATGGTGTTTGGGATAGAGAAGCATCCATTGATAACACTTCTAATTCCAATTACGATGGAAGACAATCACAAACAAGATCCGGAAGCGATACACCAAACAAGAAAAGAAATGGTCAAGGAGGTGATGCACAAGCCACAAGTCGATCAAAAGCAATTGGAAAAATGTTTTTCAAAACAAAATTATGTTGCAAATTCAGAGCAGGAACTTGCCCTTACATTACAAACTGTAATTTTGCACATAGCATTGAAGAACTAAGACGTCCTCCACCAAATTGGCAAGAAATTGTGGCTGCTCATGAGGAAGAAAGGGCAGTTTCGTCCGAACCAAGAGAAGAATTTCAAATTCCATCACTCGGGTCTTCTAGTTTTACAGTTGATAGTCAAAGATCTTATAAAGGAAGACACTGTAAGAAGTTTTATACCGAAGAGGGGTGTCCTTATGGTGACAACTGCACGTTTCTTCATGATGAGCAATCTAAAGCTCGTGAAAGTGTTGTAATAAGCTTAGGTCCTGGATCTGGTAGTGGGTATGGCGGTGCAGGCGGCGGCAGTGGTGGTGGTGCTGTGGTTGTAGTAGCCGGTGGCGGCGGCGGTGGTGGTGGACCCGAGGCGGCTGGATCAAACTCCATGTTGAAGCCTTCGAATTGGAAGACAAGAATATGTAACAAGTGGGAACAAACAGGGTATTGCCCATTTGGGAGCAAGTGTCATTTTGCTCATGGTGCTGCAGGTATATTTTTTTTTTTTCATAAATAAATAAATAAATAATATTCTAAATGCAAATAGCTGGAAATAGCAACATACTTATTTACACTCATAAATATTTGCTGCAACTTTTTGGATTCTTATGGTTATTTTGGCAGAACTGCATCGATATGGTGGGGGGCTTGTTGATATAGAAGCTAAAGATTCTTTGAGTTCAATGGATCCAAATAATAATAATAATAATAATAATAGTAATAATAATAATAAGCAAGGGGTAATTTCGTCCAAAACACCTGCTGAATCTGTAGTGGCTGCTGCTGGTCCTTTAGATGGTTACCATGTTGGGGTTCCTTCGCAGCGGTTGCCTGGTGTTATTCCGAGGACTGGACAGAGACCTTTTCAAAAGTGGAAGGGCCCCGATAAGATTAGTCGTATCTACGGGGACTGGATTGATGATATTGAATAAGTTTGGGGGGAAAAGTTAATGTTATTGTGCTTGTTTTTCTCTATGTTTAGCTTTTGTATGGATCTTTGAATGCTCTTTCATGGAAAGTGTTTTGGGTATTCTTGTTATTAGTATGTTTGTTATAATATAATGTAGTAATTTCGTCTAATTTGACTTGTTAAATAATTATTAATAAAGATATGATCATTCTAAACTCTTCAAGCCTAAAATAAAAAAGAATATGTGAACAAACAATTTCCCTATGTCAAGGTTTTGTTTTGTGCATCTTCACCTCTAGTTTTCTCTTTGTATCTCTATGATAAGATAAGTTTTGTACATGTTATCACTGTATCAGATTTGATAATTATATATTAAGTTAAAAAAATTATGGTAAAATTTGATCAACATTAATTTAACTAATACTCTACAACACATATGCCGGTCATGTTTAGCATACTACTTGGGGTCCTTTGACTAAGGGTTAATTGTATATGGTTTATGCAAACAAAATTTAATTATGTATTCAAATTTTAATTTGTTACCAATTTGGTAAACGCTTAACAAATTATCAAAGCACAATAAAGTGCAGCTTGTATAAATTATTAAGAGTTATGTTTTGTTAAATAAAATGATTAAAAAAAGTAATAAAAAAAAAGTGGATAAGTGTTTGACCCCCGAGGTAATGCACATTAGTGGTTATTGCATACAAGTTTCACATATGACTCGTTCAATGACTTTATATACGCCCTACCATTTAAAGGAAACCAACGCCACATCACACCATCTTCCCACATATATTGGACCTTCTCACTTATCCATCACCTTTTCTCTTTCTATTTTCCCACAAACTATGCAACAATGCAAACCCAAAATTTAATACACTCCGGTCGAATTTCACCTAAATCACATTGTTTCTCATCTCTTCCTTATCCTGAAAAGGACACCGGCCGGAATTTTAGATCTCCGGCCAATGACAACGGAGGTTGCAACCGTTGCACCGGCAACAGATCCACATGCATCCCCTCCTATCACCATCATTTTAACCACTATTCTCCTCGTCATTTTCTTTATTGGCTTCTTCACAATATACTTTTGCAGGTGTTTCATGCAAAATGTTCTTTACACATGGAATACCCGTCATAACCCTCCTGGGACACAGATGGGCGGTCCAAGGAGCAGTGGCCCTCCTGGACTCGATCCACATATTATTAATACTTTCCCTACTTTTATCTACTCTGATGTTAAAGAATTTCGACGTGAAACATATGGGTTAGAATGTGCTATATGTTTATGTGAATTCGAGAACGACAACGTCCTTCGACTTTTAACAAAGTGTTACCATGTTTTCCATCAAAATTGTATAGATCTTTGGCTTGAGTCACATAAATCGTGCCCTTTTTGTCGACGTGGCCTCGAAACACCGCTTGCCTCGCCAACAAAATCTCCGGTGTCACAAAATAGTACATCCATGCATGAGATCCAAGAAAATGAGTTGCTCGAAGACACATTTACTATCAATATTAGGGATGAAAATGAAAGGAACAACAATACGGATACCAAAGAAGACAAGAAGAAAGAAAAGCATGTAAATATTGATATTGATCGAGGAGAAGTTAAGAGAACAGAAAAATTTCCAAGAAGCAACTCAACGGGTCATTCGATTACTAAAAATTGTAAAGCAAGTGAGGACGAAGATAAGTTTACATTAAGATTGCCCGAACATATACAGACAAAACTCATTCGTGGACATAATTGGACACGAAGTTGTACCGAGTTTGGAGAATTCAAAACTAGAACTTCCGCTAGTAGTCCAGGATTTGGCGAAGCGTCGACATCTAGAGATGTAAACAAAGTATAAGTCGTCTATAGAAATTTTGTTTATTATCAAAATTTAGAAATTTTATAGGATTAGTTAGGATTATTGTAACATGAGATACTATTTTTCTTGTTTCATTTTTGCATATATTAACCAGATATATTATCCGGAATAGATCAATGACAACTTTTAAAAGTTATGATATTAGTTTTTTATATCTTTTTTCTTAATTGTATCCATGTTCTTGGCTCACTTCCCTTCAAACCTTGTTTTTGTGTGCAAGCTTAATGTTACAATAATAACAATATAAGGTATAATAGTTCAAGGCCTTAAAATAAGGGACTAATTTTTAATATAAACATGTTTAAGTAATAAGTGTAGAATGTGTAAAGCATAAATTTATAGCTTTCAAATCAATTAGTATTTTAGAATACTTATATTTAATATCATCACTTATAAAAAGACCTCTTATCAAATAAAATGTCCTTCCAATTTGTCTTTTCTTTTTATGTTGAGGTGGAAGATGTTAAAGGATTGATTTTGTAATTTATACAAAATAATTTATAACGGTTTTGATATTACCAAAAAATACACCAGTTTTACAGCCTTGATCTAATTAGCCCCATTTTTTTTGTTAGTCAAAGACCATTATCTAGGGTCGTTTGTTTCAATATAGCAACTTTACCCATCACCAACCGATAAACCCAACTTAGCCGATTGCCCCTTCGATTGACGAGAATATCTATGGAAGATATGTATCATTTGTACCAACTTCACTTTTGCTATCAAGTTGATCATCAAAGAGGGTTTTCTCAGTGATTTATAGAGCATAACGAGGGTTTTGATATCAAATATGTTTTATACCATTGTTGCATACTGAAGCTTGATGGTTGAAGTGATAATCAACTGAATTTGGAAGGTACATGGTTTGATATGATCAAATGCAAACTCTTTTGAAGGTATAGGGTTTGATATCAGTGTTCTTCATGTGTAACACATTATGTTTTTTACAATTGGCTTCTATATCAAACGCGGAAAATCATGAGGGTAGGATGTTGTGCCATCACATAGGGTCATTCCCTTTTGAACCAGAAGTACCTAAAACCATAAAGATAAATTGTAAGCATAAAGCTTAGTGAGTTCCCCAAAGTACCACATACCAAAACATACAATTGGGCTAAACCTAGGGGTATTTCCAACCCAGAATACACATATGGGCCCCACATTGGGACCTTGCCCTGGGGTGTATTTTAACCCAACAACACATATGGGCCTCACCCTGGGCTATCTTTCAACCCACTTATACAGTAGTGAGCCCTGCCTTGGGGTCTATTTCAACCCGAACATACGATAGTGGGCCCCGCCTTGGGGTATATTTCAGCCCAACATACAAACACACATAAGCCACATAGCAGCTATCATCTTAGATACATAATAATGGATCGACATTGGTGCCTTCGATCCATGGATACAGTGAGAAAACTCACCTCACAGACGAATAAAGGCTAAAATAACTTGTTGTTTCGAAACTAAATCTATCGGTCACCTATACAAATAACAACGCCCAAAACTTAGATTATAGATCAAAATACTCAAAATACCCCTAATTCAAACTTGGTCAAAGTCAAAATTCAAATGGGTCAAATCCATTGGACAAACCCTAATAAAAGGTCTCATGTCGTGATCATTCCTTAGTCACGTCGTGAGAGTCGACCAGGTCCGATTCTAGTGACTCGCTCTGTAACACCCCGAAATCAGAAAACCTAGAAAAGAAAGGAAAACCTCAAAATCAGAAGGTGACTCGTCGAGTAGGTGGGGTGACTTGACGAGTAGGAGCGCATTACGAGTCGCGGGTTAAGTGACCTACTCGACGAGTAGGTGGGGTGACTCGACGAGTAAGAGCGCATTCGGGACTTGGCACCCTATTTAAGCATCTTATTCTCCTCCTTTTGGTTCCATTCCCATCCCCCATTATCCAGAACTTAACCCACGAAACCCTAGATCATTTGGTGAGTGTATGAGCCATTCTTGAGTGTTTTGGTGTTCTTGGAGGCTAGAAGAAGAAAAAGGAGATTGAAGGTTCAAGGAGGAACTTGTAGATCCAACAACACCATCTCATTTCCATCATTTTTTGGTAATCAAGTCTTCATCTTGACTTATAGCTTCTTAGATGTCTTTATGTCCTCTTTATGAGAGTTTTGGTCCAGGGAGCTTGATCTATCGGACAAGGATGTCCCAAGAAAAGATCCTTTCAGATCTGGAGTGCCTAAGAGTGGTTAAGGCATAAAGGTGCAAGCTTTATGCCATTAGAACCCTCATGCAAGCTTTAAGGAGTTGTTATGGCCTTTTAAGACTTTATGTGTCCTTCTAGTGTATAAGGCCTAGATCTATGTTGTTATGCCTTGGATTGGAGTAATAAGAGTTTTTAGGATCTAGAGTTATGTCTTAAGGAGCTAGGGTTTGGTGTAACCCATTAAGAATGGGTAAAGTTGGAACCTTTACCCTCATGAGGTCATCTTCAGCATGTAGTCGAAGTTTGGAGTTTGGATATGAAGTGTAAGGGCTTAATCTGTTAAGATGTCCAATCAAATCGGGGGATTCGGTGAGTCCAGGGAAGGACTCAACAAGTCTAAGTGTATTGTCCCGTTTTTGGTTATGCTGGGACTCGGCGAGTCTGAGGGCTGACTCGACGGGTTGACTCGATAAATCGCGACCTTGAGTAGCCAGTGAACTCGGTGAGTCAGGGGTTGACCCGACGAGTTGGATCGCGATCTCAGGATTTTGACTTATTGGACTCGGCGAGTTGAAGGAGCAACTCGGCGAGCTTGGTCAACTTGGAGCGTTGACTTTGACCGATGGCTTTGACTTTGACCAGGGTTGTTTTGGTTTGACTTTTGGAGGGTATTTTGGTATAAGTGTCATTTTGATAATTGATAGCTCGGGGAGTCTAGTGATCAGTAGTTCGAGGATCTGCCAGCTAGCAGCGAGGGGTTATTTGCAGGATTCTACAGTCAGCTTGTGAGGTGAGTTTTTTCCAGTAGGAGCGGGTCTAAAGCACCAATGTTTGCCCGTTTATGTATGTTAGTGTATACCGGATTTAGATCTGATGTCGGGGTTAGCCCAATGCAGTTTATATGTTATGGGTTTCAGTTCTATAGTGGGCAAGGCCCGAGGAAGGGTTATATATATTTTTTTCCGAGCTACAGTTCGATGTCGGGTGGTACCCGAGGCAGTAGCATATGTGTATTTATACTTGTTGTCTTTTTGATACTTGTATGTAGCTGTTAGGGGGATGAGTGTGGGCGGGGGGCCGTATCTCATCACTAGCTAAGGGTGGATGGGGTTCCATATCTCATTAGTAGCAGAATAGGAGCGGAACCCAAGATAGGCGGGGCCTTGAGACTAGCAGTTATAGTATAGTGATAGTGTTTGCATGTTTATATGTTATTGTTGTATTTGTGTAGCGGGCGGGGCCTGGTAGAAACAGATCTTTATACCGAGCGGGGCTCGATGCCAGGTGGGGCCTGATGTCGGATTCATCCGATGTCGGGCGGGGCCCGATGCAGCGGAGGGAAGAGCTTGGGATGACTACATGACACACACCAAGAAGTTTTAGCCTGGGATGTTTAATCTGATAAAAAGAACATTTTTTGAGATGATACTTTGATGTGATATAACGAGTTATGTTTATGATTAAGAATTATGGTGTTTTTAAAATGAAAATTTCAAACCGTATTTTTAGGATGTTAAACGCTCCAGACTCAGACAACTCCGATGCGATTTTCCCCGTTCTCACATCGTGAGAACCTCATGTCTCACGTCGTGATTTTTGTCTGAAGCTACAACATAGAGAGAGAGAGAGATTTTATCAGATACAACAACATGCTTCTAGGGACGATGATGTGTTAAAAGTTGCATTCTAGACTTAGAAAAGCCACCTGTTAGATCCCTTTAGAAAAAAATGGTACAAAATAATAAATAAGAATAAAACAAAAATAGTTAGTCAAACAAGAAAATAGTCTAAACAGCAAAATATGTGCAGTTTTTTCAGAAAGGTGATAAAGACCTGTTCCTATAAATCTTTTGAATTGAATGGTCATAAATGTACTTCCATTTTCTGAGATATCTTTGAATTTTGGCTATAAAAGAGAGCAAACAAGATCATCCATATCACACAAACATAATTCATAGTAAGCAAAAAAAGAGAATGCCTTTAATCATTAAGATATTACAGGTTGATTCCAAGCTTCATGTTCACCAAGAACAAGAGAATAGCATGAACCAGTCTTTGTAACCAACGAGTTAAAGGGATCCAATATTTGTAACCTTCGAGTTATGAGAATCACCAAGACAATACTCGAAGGTTCCAATCATTGTGATCCATGAAGGAAGAGAAGGTGGGACCACTGTCTTTTCGAAGACTCCTTTGTATCTTTGAGGTGATTGAGAGGTAGTAGTGACAACATCAATGGAATTTATACGTACTATGTCACCAAACTCCCCTTCATCTCACTTCAACTGAAATAAAAACCCGTTCCTATAAATCTTTTGAATTGAATGGTCATAAATGTACTTCCATTTTCTGAGATATCCTTGAATTTTGGCTATCAAAGAGAGCAAACAAGATCATCCATATCACACACAAACATAATTCATAGTAAGCAACAAAATAGAATGCCTTTAATCATTGAGATATTACAGGTTGATTCCAAGCTTCATGTTCACCAAGAACAAGAGAATAGCATGAACCAGTCTTTGTAACCAACGAGTTAAAGGGATCCAATATTTGTAACCTTTGAGTTATGAGAATCACCAATACAATACTCAAAGGTTCCAATCATTGTGATCCATGAAGGAAGAGAAGGTGGGACCACTGTCTTGTTGAAGACGCCTTTGTATCTTTGAGGTGATTGAGAGGTAGTAGTGACAACGTCAATGGAATTTAGACGTGTTATGTCACTAAACTCCCCTTCATCTCACTTCAACCGAAAATAGGTTGTTCCAGACAGAAGAGATATATGTCCAGTAGAATGCTTGGTGGC